ACTTTGTTTATTCAATTATTTTCATCTATTTCATTGTTTCTATTCATTTAGGGTTTAGGGTTTTAGAGTTATTTGCTTCCTTTTGTTTTGTTTTATGCTGCCTTCTTGCTTTTCTTTTTGCTTGTCTTCGCTGTTTGTTTTTGTTGCTTTGTTTGTTTGTTTGTTTGCTGCGGGGGTTTTAGTTCTGTTTTGCTGCTGCTGCTGTTTTGCTGCTGCTGCTGTTTTGCTGCTGCTGCTGTTTTGCTGCTGCTGTTGTTTTGCTGCTGCTGCTGGTTTGCTGCTGCTGCCATTCGGCTGCTGCTGCTACTTTGCTGCTGCTGTTGTTTTGCTGCTGTTGTTTTTTTTGTTTTTATTTGTTTTTAGCGTTTTGTTGTTTTTATTTTTATTGTACATTATTTATGACAATACAAATAAAGTTTCCTTTCTGTTCTTTTTCGTTAGATATCTTTTATATGGTTATTTATTTACTTTTTTGTTTTATATTATTCTGTTTCTTGTTTGTTTATATCTTATTGTTTCTTTTTCTTTTATATAATCCTTGTTGATTTATTTATAAATATTATTATTTCTTTTTGACAAAGTTGCATGAGAAAACGCAGAAAAAAGTATTTCAGAGTATTTTAAGGTATTTTTTTTTGTTTTTGTCTGCACTTGATTATTTTTTTAAATTAATAAATAATTAAAGCATCATTAAATGGAGTTACTTTTCTTTTGTTTTCTTCAGCCGACGCATAGAATATGCGCATGCAGTTCTTCCGTTAAGAAGCTGCTTCCTGTCAACTGGGGCTGGATGGCTGATATCGGGTTCTGAGGACTTCGGCGTTTTCTGCTTTCCTCTTCGCGATGGTGCTTCAGCTAAGACAGGATATTACCTTTATAGACACTCGGTATGAATATACTAATACTAATACCAGCAGCAGCACCAGCACCAGCAGCAGCAGCAGCAGCAGCAGCAGGTGCTGCTGCTGCTGCTGTAGGAACCGCTGTAACACCAGTTGTAGATGTTGCAACAGAAGCAAAAACAGAAACAGCAGCAGAAACAGCAGCAGCAAGGGGAGCAGTAATAGGAATAGGTGGAGAGGTTGAAGTAGTAGGCGCAGCAGCAACGGCAGCAGTAGCAGCAGCAGCAGTAGCAACAGCAGCAGTAGCAGCAGTAGCAGTAGCAACAGCAGCAGCAGCAGTAGCAGCAGCAGTAGCAGTAGCAGCAGTAGCAGCAGCAGCAGCAGCAGGAGCTGGCATTATTTGCTGCCTGTCGCATTAATTTCTGCTTGATTTGATTTGTTTTGTTTTTTGTTGAGTCGCTGATTTTACCCTTTTAATGACGATATTTATTTTGTTTTTTACAAAGATATTTATTTTATTTATTTAGAATAAGATATGCATTTTATTTATTTAACAATAAGAATATTTATTTGTTTTGTCTGTTTTCTTCTGCTGTCTTTGTCTTCAACTCGTTTATTATAATTAATTAATATTTATTATTATTTTATTATTTTATTTCTGTATATTTACGCGCGTCTTTTCGTTTGTTTTTTATTTCTTTTTTATTTTTCTTTATATATTTTCTTCTTCTAAATTTATTTATTTATTTATTTATTTATTTATTTATTTGCTTTGTTTTTGTTTGCCTCAGAGTGCTGTTCTTACAGTTGCAGTTAACAATGAAAATACTTTGCTCGCAACAGGTGACGCAACTGGAACAATTATACTCTGGCGCCGCCTAAACCCTAAACCCTAAGCCCTAAAGGGTTTTAGGGTTTAGTTGGGGGGCAGGTGTGGGTTGCTGCTGAAACCGCAGTAACGCTAAACCCTAAACCCTAAACCCTTTAAGGTCTTTCTTTATGGCTTTAGGGTTTAGGGTTTAGGGTTTAGCATCGGGTTGGGACCCTAAACCCTAAACCCCCTAACCTAAACCCTAAAGCTTTCGAGGGTTTAGGGTTTAGGTTGGGAGGATCAAGGGGTTTGCGGTGTATGGGTTTATTTTAATTTGTTTAAGAAATTTGTTTATTGATTCATCAGCAACAAAGAAGTAGAGTAAAAGAGTAGAAAGTAATTAAAAAGGAATTTAAAAGAAATTAAAAAGAGTTAAAAGAAATAGTTTTGCTGTATATAATATATATATGTATATATGTATATACATATGTATATATGTATATATATATATATATGTATATATATATATATATATATACATATATATATTATATATGTATATATATAATGCAAAGAGAGACAGTAAAAAAGAAAGAAGAGACAGCAAAAGGAGACAACAGGGACAGAAGCAAAAACAGATAAATAAATAAAAATAAAAATAATAAAATAACATAAAACAAAGAGAGACGACAGAAAGGAGACAGCAACAGCAGAAGGAAACAAAAAAAATTTAGAGAGAGACAGCTGTTTATTTAAATAAATAATCTTAAAAAACTCTTCAAGACAACAAACGAAGCAGGCAGCAATCTGCTGCTGCTGCTGTTGTTGCTGCTGCTGCTGCACGTTCAGCTGCAGCTGCTGTAGGTGTGTGTTGTATTGCGGTGCTGCAGCAGCTGCAGCAGCTACCTATTTGGTATCTGCTGCTGCTGCTGCTGCTGCTGCCGCAGCATCTACCGCTGTTATATCTGCTGCTGCAGCTATAACCGCTGTTATATCTGCTGCTGCAACTGCAGCAGCTACTACCGCCGTTATATCTGCTGCTGCTGCAGTAGCAGCAGCAGCAGCAGCAGCAGCAGATATTGACGGAGGAGAAGGATTATATAATGAATATATTTGAATTAGAGTTGTGAGATATCTCTTCGCTTAAAAGGATAGGAGACAGCCCCTCTTAAGCATTCATCTACAATACACCTGAAGGTGATAGGCTCTGTAGCAGCAAGAGCAGCAAATGTTTTTCTATCGATTGCTATTTGCTGCTGCTTAGCCCCGTACTGCAGCAAACTATAAGGTACACCCCACTCTCTTGCTGCTGCATTTATCTTTACTATCCACAGCACACGAAAGCGTCTATACCGCTGCATTCTTTGTATATACGAAGAGAATAACGCTTTCATTGCTCTAACCCTAGCTAAACGAAAGCAGCTCCTAGACCGCCCTCTAAACCCCCTTGCTACTTCAAATATAACTGAACGAGGCAGCTTCATTGCAGCAGCAGCAGCAGCAACAGCAGCAGCAGCAAAAGAAGAAATGAAAATATAATAATATAAAGGTTGGGTCTCCGGCTGTCTTGTAGCTGTATAGATAAACTACAAACAAAGACAAAGACAAATAGAGAAAATAGAGAAATATTATTTAACAAATATTATTAAAGGAAGCAATGCTGCTGCTGCTGCTGTTGCTGCTGCTGCTGCTGTTGCTGCTGCGGAGGCGGCAGCAGGTGCTGCATGAAGGGCAGAAGAAGCAAATAGAACAAAGAACTCCTGAGCATCTAATAAAATAAAAGAAGAAAAACAACAACAAACAAAGACAAAGACAAACTAACATACATTAAGAAGCCCTCAAACGGAGGCCCCCAACAACGCAGCAGCAGCAGCAGCAGCAGCAGCAGCAGCAGCGAGAGAAGGATATGTGTAGCTGAAATACAGCAAAAAAATAAAAATTGATTAAATAATTATATATAAATCTATTTTATTTAAATATTAAAACACAAACAAATTTAAATATTAATCTTCTGCATGCAGAGTACACAGAAAAATATACTGCTCTACTCAGCTGCTGCTGCTGTTGCTGCTGCTGCTGTGCTGCTGCTGCTGCTCTCCTGCATGCAGCAAGAAAAATAAACTGCTGCATCTCTTACCTCCAAATAAAACAAAATACTTCTAACAAAACACAAGAAGAAGTCATTCAGCACTCAGAAGCCCTTTTTAGCTGCAGCAGCAGCAACTGCTGCAGCAGCAACAGCAGCAACAACAGCTACGCTCGACAGAGGGTGTCAGCAGCAGCAACAGCAGCAACAGCAAAAGCAACAGCAGCAGCAGACCATTTTGACTAGTCCGCATCTCGTCCCTATCTTCGAGTCGCAAAGGCAAAACGCAGGAGCAGCAACCGCAGCAACCGCAGCAACCGCAGCAGCAACAACAACTGCAGCAGCAGCAACAACAGCAGCAACAGTAAGAAGAGTAGCAGCAAGGCTTGTTGAATTGGCTCCCCGGAAGCAGAGCAGCAGAAGCGGAATTGTGTACTGAAACATATCTGCTGCAGCAGCAACGACTGAATCAGGTGCAGCAGCTTGAGCAGCAGCAGCAGCAGCAGCAGCCGCTGCTGCTGCTGCCGCAGCGAAGCGCTTTCCGCTCGCCAAAGGGCATTCACCAGCTGCAGCAACACGTGCAGCGCCAGCCACAGCAGCAGCAAGCGGCACAAGCAGCAGCTGCTGCTGCAGCAGCTGCTGCTGCGGGAAGGGAGATCGCTAGCTGCAGCAACCAGCAGCAAAAGCAGCAGCAGCTGCAGCAGCAGCAGCTGCTGCGAATAGGAGGCCCGCCATGGGCTGTGGTTTTAGTTCAGGTAATTGTTCTTGTTGTCACTAACAGCTGTTGCTGCTGCTGCAGCTGCTGCTGCTGTTGGCTGCTGGTGCTGTTTGCTGCTGCTGCTGCTGTTGCCTGCTGCTGGAGCTGTTTGGTGCTGCTGCTGCTGCTTGATTCTCCCGCTGCTGTTTGTTGCTGGTGCTGACTGTTGCTGTTTGCTGCTGCTCCTTGCTGTTGCTGCTTGCTGCTGCTGTTTGCTGCTGCTCCATTTCTTGTTTGCTGCTGCTGCTGCAGCTTTCGCTTGCATTAGCTGTTCTTTGCTGCTGCTTCTGGCAGTGTCTGCTGCTGCTTCTGGTGGTATTTGGTGCTGCTGAAGCTCTCGTTTGCTGCTGCTGCTGCTGCTGCTGCATAATTAATTGACTGCAGCAGAAGAAGTGTTGCCTTGCTGCAGCATTCTTGCGGTGTATGTACACCTCAACTTACCTCCAATTCTTTTGTGTTTTTCAGCGCTACCGGCGAGCGGCGATTCGCAGCTGCGCCTTCAGAATGCCTCTCCGTAAGCAGCAGCAGCAGCAGCAGCAGCAGCAACAGCAGCAGCAGCAGCAGCAGCAGCAGCATCAGCAGCAAGAACAGCAGCAGCAGCACCAAGGGCAGCAGCAGTGGGAGCAGCAGTAACTGATTTAGTTTTTTGCTTTTTACACACGCAGAGTAAAACCCTAAATCACAATACTGCAGAAGCTGTTCTTTAGCAGCAGCAGCAGCAGCAGCCGCGGCTGCTGCTCCTGCTGGAGTTGCGTGTATTGTATTTGCTTTTGTGTTTGATGTGCTGTTTGTTTTAATTTGTTTGTTTGTTGCAGAACCCCCTTTCATCGACTCAACTTTGAGGCAAAGATAGTCAGACAGATAAACCCTAAACCCTAATTAAACCCTAAACCCTAAACCCTAATTAAACCCTAAACCCTAATTAAACCCTAAACCCAATGTTTATATTTTATATATTATATTTTATATTTATAATTATATTTACATTTGTATATTTATATTGATATTTATTTATATTTATATTTGTATTCATTTATACTTATTTACATTAATATTAATATTTATATTTATATTTATATTTATATGTATATTTTATATTTATATTTATATTTATATTTATATTTATATTTATATTTATATTTAATTATATTTAGGTTTTATTAGGAGACAGCGGAGTCGGGAAGAGCAGTTTGGCTTTGCGTTTTTGTCGCGGACGATTTCCGGTGTATCATGAGGTGACGATTGGAGCTGCATTTCTGCAGCAAACGCTCACGCTGCAGCAAGGTATGCTGCTGCTGCTGCTGCTGCTGCTGCTGCTGCTGCGTTTGCTGCTGCGTTTGTTGCTGCGTTTGTTGCTGCGTTTGCTGCTGCTGGAAGTGCTGCTCCAACTGGGTATGCTGCTCCGGTTGCTGCAAGTGCTGCTGCTGCTGCTGATCCTTTTGATGCAAGTGCTGCTGCTGCATTTGCTGCTGCTGTTGCTGCTGCACCAAGATATGCTGTTGCATTTGCTGCTACTGTTGCTGAAAGTGCTGCTGTACAAAGGTATGGTGCTGCATGTACTGCTGCTGCTGCTGCATCAAGATATGCTGCTGCACTTGCTGCTGCTGCTGCTGCAACTGCTGTTGCAGCAAGGTATGTATGTTGCTGCGCATGCTTCTGCTGCCGTAATTGCTGCTGCAGCTCCTATACTGCTGCTTTTGCTGCTGCTGCATTTGCTGCTGCTGCTGCTGCATTCGCTGCCGCTGCTGCATTTGCTGCTGCTGCTGCTGCAGGTGCGCAGCTGAAGCTGCACATCTGGGATACTGGAGGCCAGGAAAGATTTAGGGCAATGGCTCCGCTTTATTACAGAGATGCAGCAGGCGCTGTCGTCGTATACGATCTCACGTTAGCTGCTGCTGCTGCTGCTGCTGCTGCTGCTGGTGTATCTGCTGCTCCTTTGTTGCTGCTACTGGTGTATCTGCTGCTCCTTTGTTGCTGCTGCTGCTGTTTGTGCTAGTCCTTCATTGCTGCTAATGCTATTTCGCTCTTATTGTTGTTGTTGCTGCTGCTGCTCTTATTGCTACTGGTGCTGCTGTTTCTGTTGCTGCTCTTGAGGTGGTTCTGCTGCTCATGGTGTTGTTGCTGTTTTTTTTTTGCTGCTGCTGCTGCTGCAAAGACGCATTCACGTGTTACTGGTGTTCGCGCTGCTTTGGCTGCTGCTACTGTTACTACCCTCCCCGCTGCTGCTGCTGCTGCTGCTGCTGCTGCAGGGCCCCTTCGTCTTTGGAGGCGGTGAAGTTCTGGACAAAGGAGCTGCAGCAGCACTTAGGTTCCTGCTGCATCGCCGTCGCAGCAAACAAAAGTGATTTGCTGCTGGGTGCATCGGAGGGGCCAGCAGAGGAGCAGCAGCAGCAGCAGCAACAGCAGCAGCAGCAGCTGCTGCAGGAAGCAGCGTCCGGTGATGCTGCTGCTGCTGCTGCTGCTGAGGCGGCGGCAGCAGAAGCAGAGAAATACAAAAACAACTTCGAGAAAATTAAACGCGGCATTGAGGTGCGACCTGCAAGCAAACAGCTCTAGGGTTTAGGGTTTAGGGTTATAGGGTCTAGGGCTTCAGGGTTTTGTGATTTATGGTTTCAGGGCTTTAGGGTTCATGGTTTCAGGGTTTAGGGTTTAGGGTTTAGGGTTTTAGGGGGTTAAGGTTTAGGGTTTACGACGTATAGTTTACGGTTTTAGGGTTTTGGGGGTTTAGGGTTTAGGGTTTAGGGTTTAGGGTTTACAGTGTTTATACGAAATGTTCAGGAGGTGAAGAGCTTCTGCGCCGCGAATAAATTTGCATTTGTCGAGTGCTCTGCAAAGGTGCGGAGCAGCAACAGCAGCAGCAGCAGCATCAGCAACAGCACCAAGAGCAGCAGCAGGCGCAGCACAAGTAGCAGCAGGAGTAGCACCAGTAGTAGCAGCAATAGCAACAGCACCAGTAGCAACAGCAGCAACACCGGTAACGGCAACAGCAGCTGCAGCGGCTGCAGCGGCTGCAGCGGTAGCAGCAGCAGCAGCACCAATAGTAGTAGTAGCAGCAGCAGCAGCAGGTTGAAGGAGCCGCTGCTCCCGAGCAAAGTAGAGGCTTGCCTGCCTGAGCTGCAACGGGTTAGGGTTTAGTTTTGTACGCCTCATCAGGGTTTAGGGTTTAGGGTTTAGGGTTTAAGGGTTTGGTGTTTGCTGCAGACGGGGCAGAACGTCAATCGGCTGTTCGAAGACCTGGGTAGGTTTAGGGTTTAGGGTTTAATGTTTTAGGGTTTAGGGTTTAGGGTTTAGCGTGTTAGGTATAGGATTTTAGGGTTTAGGGTTTTAGGGTTTGGGGTTTTAGGATCTATGTCTTAGGGTTTGGGGTTTAAGGTTTCAGGGTTTAGGGTTTGAGGGTTAGGGTTTCGGGTTTATGTTTAGGGTTTGAGGGCGTAGGGTTTACGGCATAGGGTTTAGGGTTTAGGGTTTAGGTTGGTTGCGCCTGCTGATTTGTTGCAGCACGCGATGTGTTCGTACGCCTCAAAGACGCCGCACCAGTGGACATCTGAAGCAGCAGCAGCAGCAACACCAGCAGCAGCAGCGGCAGTAACAGCAGCAGCAGCAGCAACGGCAGCAGCAGCAGCGGCAGTAACAGCAGCAGCAGCAGTAGTAACAGCAGCAGCAGCAACAGCAGGAGCAGAAGCAGCGCCACCGTGCATCTGACGCAGCCTTCGCATGCTGCTGCTGCAGCAGCTGCTGCTGCTGTAGCTGCTGCTGCTTCTCGGCGGCCAGGGCAACAGCAGCAGCAACAACAACAACAGCAGCAGCAGCAGCAACAGCAACAGCGACAGCAACAGCAGGTCATACAGCTGAGTGCACGAATGCAACAGGTCAACACAGAAAGAAATAATATAATTATTAAGTGCAATTAAAAAGAATATATATATAATATGTAATATAATATATATAAAATCATAAATATACATATATATGTATATATATATATATACTATGAATATATAATATATACAGTAGAGGTATTATATATATTATTATCTTATAAATGTTGCATATAATATATATATATTATATTATAAAGAGATAAAATCCTTTTAATTGGATTTGTTACGTTTACATTTCATATATGCACGTTATAAATATACATATTTATTTATATATATTCATATATATATGCATATATATATATATATAAATATAAATATATATATATATATATACATATATATATATATATGTATGTATATTACACATATATATGTATATATTCGGATGTGCTACGCTTGGACTCCAAGCATCTGCACTATATATATATATATATATATATATAT